AGAAGGAAAGTAAAATCCAATAAGTTCAATTTCCTGGAATAGTCTCTTCTCAGAATATAAGGGGGTCAACCTATTCTTCAAAGCACCTGAAGACAAGACAAGAAGCAATGGATGGAAATTAATCGAGGAGAGAACCAACCTAGAACTAAGGAGAAATTTCTTGATATTTAGAACAATTAATCAGTGGAACAAGTTGCCTCTAGAAATTGTGAGTGCTCCAATGCTGGAAGTTTTTAAGAAGAGGTTGGACACCCCATTTGTCTGAAATGGTATGAGGTCTTCTGCTTGAGCAGGAGGTTGAACTAGAAGTCCTCCAAGGTCCTTTCCAACTCTGTTATTTTGCTATTTGCAGGGGATTTTTTTGTTTTTGTTTTGCTTGTATGTTTCTTTCTTCTGGGATAGGTGAGAAGGTTAAAATACCAATTAATACAACAACAACAATGACGAAAGAGTGGCTGATCTTTAAATAAATAAGTTGTAGGGAAGAGAAGAGGCCTTAGATCCAGCTGTACACATCAACCATCTTCTTCTCCCACATTTTTCTAAATGACATCAGTTCCCTTTCCAGTACCGTTCCCATCAATTCATACTTTAAGAAGTTAGCAGATTTGTCCAATATTTTGCCCACAGTTCCTGGAGAGGTGTAATTAAGTGACCAAACCATCAACGAATCAATTAGTGTTGTCCTCACCCCTCCCTCCCTCCCTCCCTCTCAGTTGCAGGCATTCCAGGGACTGTTTAGCTTTCAGATTTTGCTGGTTTCCCCCGGCCCTGTCCCACCAGCAAACACTACCCCTGAGCAGCACCTGCAAACAATCACTTTGAGAGATGGCTAATGTTCTAATTACCCAGGACCCAAAAATGTTAGCTGTAAACAAAAGGGGGACTGTATTTATAATCCATCAGTTTTATGACCTTCTGATGGTGATGATATCTGCAGAGTTTATATTTGGAGACCTCATGTCCTCTGCAGCAACAGCAGCTGTTCGCTTATGGTTGGCTTGAAAGAAATTCAAGCACTCGTTTAACTCTGGGCAAGAGACAAGGAATCATTGGTCCTCTTTGAAATCAGACTTGTTATTGAGTTTCATCTAAGTTTTGGAATGGATTTGAAAAGCAACATATTGAAAAGATTTTTAAATCCATTCGGAAGCTCTACCGAAGTTAGAAGAGGCTCCTGTGCTGCAATTACTGTAGCCTATGCTTAAAGGGAGGATGTGGATGATTCAAGTGACAGATCTTCAGCCTTAGGAATGGGCAGGAAATGGCAAGATTTTAAATTATTTCTGACCGTGCTGTTGTTATTTCCTGACAAGATAACTACTTAATTTTATGACCACAATTGGAGTCAAACTTTCTGTTGCTAAGCAAGAGAGTTATTAAGTGAGTGGTGCCTGATTTTATGATCTTTTTAATGCCATATTCATTAAATGAATCATGTGGCCATTAAATAAATCTGGCTTGCCTCATTGACTTTGCTTGTTAGAAGCCAACTCATGAGGCCAACTGGGCCAGATCTAAGCATCCCGCAGGCCAGATTTGGCCCCCGGAACCTTGAGTTTGACACCCCTGTTCTAAGGCAAACCCTACTATGGTGATCGTTGGTTCTCAACTTTCAACTGTTTATTTAGTGACAATTTGAAATTACAACATTGAAAAAAGTTACTTATAACAGGTTCTCACACACCCATTATAGCATCCCCATGATAGGTGATCAAAATTCACGCTCTTGGCCACTTGGCATGTATTTATGATGGTTGCAGCCCCAATATTATTATTATTATTATTATTGGTTAATCTTTAGTGAGATTCACAGCCTTTGAGGCTGGTTAATAGCTCAGCAGCTCGAGTCTTAACCAAGGACCTAGGAACTGTTAAGGTATCGTCGGAGGATGTAAGCTGTTCCGAGTAAGGTGGTTTTTTGTAGAGTCAAAATGTTCAAGTCCGGCAATTTTAGAATTTCTAAATAGCGGGGTAGCCCTTTGAGTATTGCTCCAAGGGCTCCAATTACAATCGGGACAACACACGATTTCTTTTTCCACAGTCGCTCAACTTTAATTTGTAAGTCCCGGTACTTTGTGATTTTTTCTTGCTGCTTATCTTCAATTCGTGCATCACCAGGTATTGCAATGTCAATGAACCATACTTTTTTCTTTTCAACTATTGTTATGTCAGGTGTGTTGTGGACCAAGTGCCTGTCAGTCTGAATCCTAAAGTCCCACAAGATATTATTATTATTATTAATTATTATTAATTATTATTAATTATTATTAATTATTATTAATTATTATTAATTATTATTATTATTATTATTATTATTATTATTATTATTATTATTATTGTACTCCAAATGCTTTTAAGAACCCTTTTCAAGTTAAATTTCTCTGGGACAGAGAACAGAAAGGTTCATAATTAAGGAATTCAAATGAATTGCTTTTAAAACAAAATAGGGTAGATACGGATTGAATAGAAAATGACCTAAGCTCATCAATTCACTTGTAGACTCAGCTTTTAGCAACCTGAAGTAAAATGACTAGAAATGGCAAAATGTTTAAATGAGAAGATGAATATAAAATATTCAAAATACTAGACTATAATCTATTGAACTGAGTTTATGCCCAATCCTAGTCAATGGAAAAATGAGTTAGTGGTATTTTCCTTATTTTTATGGCCTACCATCAGATTTTAGCTTAGCGTGATCTTTATGACACCAGCTTCTCTTCCGTGGGTTGCTGAGGGTCACTGAGAATCACCACATACTGTAGCTGGTGATTTCTTATTTTGGACTTCAGGGTTGGATTCCCCACCCCCACCCCAACTAAAGCATATCACTGTTGAATTTTAGAAATAGCCCAACATGCCGGTTTGTTTGACCAGGTTGAATGCTCAGCTTTTCCTCTGAAGGGTGTGCATTCCACCCAGTTTAGCACCATCTGTGTATGAATACGATCAACTTGATTATGCAGGTAGCTCCTTAGTAATTATGATCTAGGTAATTACCGTGTTTCCCCAAAAATAAGACATCCCCTGATAATAAGCCCAATAAGGCTTTTGAGCACATGCGTTAAAATAAGCCCCCCCCCAAAATAAGCCCTCCCTGAAAATATTTAAATGCATGTGCAGCCGGTCCCCACCATTTCCTCTGGTTAGGGTTAGGGAGACAGAGCTGGAAATCAGGTAAGATGGCAAGAGGAGTCCTGTCCTGCTCCATGCACCCCAAAATAATAAGACCTCCCCAAAAATAAGACCAAGCACTTATTTCGGGGTTCAAAAAATATATATAAGACAGGGTCTTATTTTCGTAGTTTTTTTCAAGCACCCAAAACATGTTGTGTTCAAAGATATGGATCTTTATCATACATTGAGTGAGGTTTTATGAAATTAGAGGTGTCTTTTTCTATTATGCACAATGAAGGGGCCATCTTCAGTCATATTTGCTAGGACAATAGGATCCATGCTCCTCTCATTTCTCCTGTATCTGCTGGTAGTTCCTTCTTCCTGAGCTGAAGTGGAGCAATTTCTTGCTGACTAGTGTGATTCTTTGCCAGTTCCTTCATAATGTGATATTCAGCCCCATTCAGAAAAGCTCTATCTGAAGAGGCAGCTTGACGGAGGTCAGCTTAACTTTGCAGTTCATAGTCGGGGGGTGGGATATTCATATCTCTGTTTTGAGAGATCTGAAACAATAGCCATTACTGGCATACTGTTAGCAAGTTTTAGATCTCCAGACTTGCTCTCACAATCCTCTGTGTGGATTGTCTTCTTACCACACGAGAACAGAAGAGAATAGAACAGAATAACAAGGTTGGAAGGGACCTTGGAGGTCTTCTAGTCCAACCCTCTGCTCAAGCAGAGGACCTATACCATTTCAGACAAATGACTGTCCAGTCTCTTTCTAAAAGGTGGTGTGACCTAGGCCCAAGTAGTTATTACCAGACACAATCAGTCCTAAACAAACATATTTTATTAGAACAGCTGAGAAGTACTTCATTCTCAGCTTAGTCCAAATTAAGTCCAAAACAAATCCTTCATAAACAGTCCTTTGGCCTTATCAAAAACCTTTGTCTTCTTTGGCACCCTGCCAAAGGCTTTTCTTGGCAAAAGTTCAGAAGCAAGAGACACTGACAAGAAACAAATGTAGCAACGTTGCTTTCCTACAAAGTTCCCAAGAGCCATTGCTGCTCTTTTAAGCCTTCTGGGAGCGGCCAATCATCTCCTGGCCTTACTCCTGAGTTGTCCTTTTTGCTTTAGCTGCTCTTGCCTAGCATGCATGCATTAGGAACAGGCTCCTCCTGTTTCTCTGCCTCTCTGCTATCTGCCTCTGGAGGCTCCAGAGTCCGCACATCACTCCCAGATGGCCCTGGCCCTATCTCTATCTCTGACGGAGAGCCCTCATCTGAGCCTTCCCCAGACTCCAGGACTGGCTCATTGTCCTCCCCAGTCTCCTCACTGTCCGACTCCGCTGCCAGCTCCGCAGACAGCTGGTGGACCACAACAAAAGGCTCCAATGATGGAGCACCCACAACTTCGGAAGGCAAGGAGGCAGGCAATCATTCCTTTGGAAATTTTGCATCAGGGTATGAGGAAGAAAGGGTGGGTACCTCTCTCATATTGCTAGGTTTATCGCCGCTATCACAGCGATGCTACATTGGCTCCTATTCTGTTTTAGTCATATCAGCGCAAGGTTTTAGGAGACCCGGTTCCTGTCTGCAACTTGCCTGCTTCGGTCCCAAGACCTGGTATCCTGCGGGGGGCTCCCTTTCCATTTAACATCTCTTCTTGGAAGGGTATTTATTTCCTGAATGAATGCCCTCAAGACACGGGAGGTTGCTAGAGACTAAACAGCCAGATTGCAAAAGCCTTTTTGTCTGGCACTTTAAAGAGAGTCTTTGCCAAGATTTATGTACATGTTTTGAGCTGGGCCCTTCAGGAGACACTGGGTCTAAAGACTGAGAAAATGAGGAAAATACCTTTGGCTGACTATGGGAGTTAACTGCCCTTGTGTTCTCAGTTTTCTCTGCTCTATGTTTTCATTTTCCCAGTGTAAGCCTGTTTTCCAGTCTCCCATGAAGTGATACCACCTGGTTGTTTCTGGGAACATTATAGCCTGCCAGTCAGAGGTTAACTATGCTTAGACCTTCCCTGATCCCTGCCGTGGTAAGTGGACAGCTTCCCCCTCACTCCTTATTTGCATGATTTCCTTTTCTGCAAAAGTGGTATGTCTTTCTCCAGGATCAGCCTTTTAGTCTCACAAGGCACTTGAGTTTACCATGTAAAAATATTAAGGAGGCTTTCTGACTGTACTGGTGGATACTAAGATACTACTGGAGTGGAGATGTTTGCTTCTTCCCACCTGGCAGAGCACCAATAGCCAATCAGACGTTTCTATTGCTGGCCAGGCAATCAGAAAGAAATGTCTCGCCATCCAAAGCACAAAGTATTTCCCCTCTTTTGAAAGAAGAGACATTATGTTCCTTTCTGTGTGACAAATCATCAAAATCTCCGTGCTGTCTCTATTTGGTCTTGATTCTTGATCCTGTCCTGGGATTCTGGAAGGTGTAAGCAAGGGCAAGTTGTGTTCTCTCCAAAGATTGCCAGGGTCACCTGAAGTAACCCAAATTCACACAATACTGGCACTGCTGCAGTGACACCATAAAATTTGCCACAACCTTTCTGAAAGAGACAAGGAGAAGCCAGAACAAAACCAAAGAGTAAACAGTTATCAAGCTAGTCTATCTTTCCCCAATTTGGGTGGCAGTCCAGTCTCTTCTTGAAAGCTTCCAGTGATGAAGCTCCCATAAGTTCTGAAGGCAACTTCTGTTCCATGGGTTGATTGTTTTCACTGTCAGAAAATGTCTCCTTATTTCCAGGTTGAATCTCTTCTTGTTCAGTTTCCATCCATTATTCCTTGTCTGGCCTTCAGGGGCTTTGGAAAATAGCTTGACCCCCTCCTGTTTGTGGTAGCCCCTCAAAGGGAAGACTGCTATCATGTCTCCCCTGGTCCTTTTCTTCACTAGACTAGCCATGTCTAGTCTTGTGTTCTTCAAATATGTTGAGAAGATGACTCCTAACTCTTCTGTCATAACTTTTGCTTGAAATATCAGTTTAGACAATTCAGACAAGATAACTTTGAGATTAGATGCTTCTCTGAATGTGCCTTAGCACTTGGATTGTCATCCAAAAATCTGAACCCTAGGTATTATTTTTAAACTCTTCCATTGTGAAGGTGACACAAGGCCACTTTACTTTCTTCTGCATGATGCCGTCTCACACGTTTGAAGTTTGAGGTCCTGTCTCTCCTTAATCTTCTTTGTTCTAGTTTAGTTTCTGAATATTTCAGTGGATGGCAGCACTGAACATACTTCAGCTAATCGTGGAAGTAAAGTGGCTTTAGAACTTGGATTGGAGGCCTCCTGGGAATGTTGGGGCTATTGATACAGTAGACTGTGAAGTCAATATTTGGCAATGACCCCCCAATGACTACTACCGAGAAGTCCATGATGCAAAATCAAAATATGAGGCTTCTCTGGAAGGTGAATTTACCACGTTTTGGGTACAGAAAAACTCATATATTAAGAAAATTGAAATATTCTATAATAAAATGCATTATATTAGTATGCAGAAGAATAAAACCCATCACAGATCAATGTGGACACGAATCAATGCAAATACTAGGAAAACCAAAAAGGATTCATATATTCATACTCAGTTATCTATTATTTCTTCCATTTCTTTAAAAAAAATAATTAAAGAAGAGAAGGAAAAGTATCTGCACAACGTATTCTCTTTGGTACTGCAAGAAATTATGTATTTTTATCCTTGTTTTTTAGAGACTCAACATTCCAATTATTTCTCTTTATACATCACTTTGCAGATTGTCAATGCCTTCTTAAAATATGCCCAGAGTAATACTTCAAATGTTACCTAACTAAACAATAATAGGAAAGTATTAATAAGCCCATGTAATGTTTTCCAGAATTGGATTGATTTTTGTAGCACACATATTGGTCTACTTATTTGCATTAATTTGTCATATATATAGATGACTACATTGTTTTTGTAATGTATGAATACCAAGCTGGACTTTCTCATCCTAATGTTAATGTCTAAGAGCAGAATGTAATGTTTACTTCTCTTTAATTTAATTTTATTGATTTGGGCCTTGTGATTTAGCCTGTATAGTCATTCTATTATTTGTGACATCTACAGATTTAACAAATATTTCCTTTCTGCCTTTATCCAGGTAATTTATTAAAATATCAATGAACACATTACCCCCAAGCACCATAGTAACTATACAGAGTTGATGCAGAATTATTAATAATCTCTTACAGAGTATACTTAGTCAGCTGTGGATTTACCTAAATAGTAGAAGCATTCCATTTATTTTATTATTTTGCCAACAATGGTCTAACGTGAAAGTCTTTCAACTGCTTTGCTGGAATCAAAGTTCACAAAGCATAGTAATGATCCACTGTGCTGACTCCCAGTAATTCATGGGTTGTTTTTCAGATTTCACAAACCAACCATTTGAGAATGTTGCCTCACATTATTATTGGGCTAACCAACTTATTGCTTCTTGTGTTTGACTTTCCTTTCTTTTTGAAAACAGGACATTACAACAGCCGATCAGGAATTACATTGCAATCTTTTATACTGTAGAAGCATAGAGAGGGATTAGCTGGAGCTATATTTATATTCTTCAGCATTTTACTACAGCTACCAATATTAGGTGTGCAAAACCTGTGGTGACCAGATCGTGGCAGTAAAAACGTTTTCTGCATCTCCTTGTATCATCTAATGGTCTTCTGTAGTTTTGAAATCAGAATCTAGTAGCCTTAATTTTATTTTTAAAGAATTTCAGTCCCTCCTAAAGTTTTTGATCTCCTGAACCATTTTTCTTTATTTCCAATTGTGCTCTTTGCATGATTCTTCTATGGTGCTTTGCCATTTCAGCTTCACGTGGTACAGTCATTCAAATAGAGAGACCTTGACTAAGAGGTGATTGTCAGCATTCCAAGTAATGCACCCATTCAGAACAGAACTCCGAGGCAGATAGATTCCTCAAAGAACAATTTATTGGATACATCATATTGGCACCACTGGTGAAAACCAACTCTGAAAGTTCCCCCGGTTTTCGCCTAATTAAAAAGTGAAAGTTTTCCCCTTCCCCCAAGTCATCAGTTACATCGTCCAATAGAGGTGCTGGCCGGTTGCTTGGTTACTCCACTCCTCCTCTCCCAGCCACCTGTTAGAATGACCTTGGTTCCCACAGGAAATCTTTTTGATTGCAAAGTCCCAGCTAACTATTCCCCCTCCCTGTCCCCTCTTCTGCCTTGTGGCAACCCTGAAGCCACAAAGATGGCCTCAGCCAGGTTTGCTTCAAGGTTGACAGTGATATTGGGTAAGAAATTGTAAGCAGTTCAAGTGTCACTCTAATATTCCATGAAGTTGGCTCCCTATTTAGCTGGTGGGTCTTTTAAAGTCTTTTCTCCTTCCAAAATGATCTTCTTGGTGGCACTTTCTTGCAATTTTCAGCCCCTTCAATGGTTTTTAAACTGAAAAATGTGGCTATAGAGCAAGTCCATGGTGTTTGGGGGGTTGTGTTCTCTCTTCCCCATGCCCTTGCTAATTATAAACATTCTCTGTAGCTAATTTCCAAACAGCTTTTTCCTGAATCTTTAAATGTGAGTTTTCAATGTTGTCTTGCTAGTCTGTGGTTTTTATAGGGACTGTTTTTATAATCCATTGTTGGAAAGAAAGAGAAGAAGAAGAAGAGGGGGGAGAAATGGACGGCGTGGATCCAAACATGAGTCTTCCAGCTTTCTAGATCTTAAATTAGATTGATGAACATAAACACTCCGACTGGAGCATTTTCCAACTCAATTGCAATTATCCTGGAAATGGTCTACAATTACCAGCAAACCCTCTGGAAGCTAAAAATTATCTTCTTAGGTTCTCCTCCCAATGGGTCAACTGTGAAAATGTCATTTGCTTATGAAACACAGCTAGTACACTCCATTCACCAAGCCTACACAACAAATGAAATCAAAGAAGCACGTGTGAAGATCTGCCCTGCTGGATTTGTATGAATATTGAAATACTGATACAATAAGTCATAAATACTGTATAAAAATGTGTCAATCATCTCATGAAAGAATGCAATAAAGCAGTGAGTCCAAAAAAAGGCAGGCAGAGGCTGGAAAAATTCCTTTCCCAGGAAAAATTACAACATTTACTAGAAAAAAAGGCAGCTAAAGATTTAATAGAAATATATACAATTATGCATCATGTGGCGAAACTAGATACAGAGAAATCTCACATTCTCTTGTTGAACACAATTCCTGCAGATTTAAGAGGCAACTACATGTAGTTTTCTTGGTGGTAATATGTCATGGTTGACAATTGACATCTTCTAACTTTTTTTTTTTACTTCCCGGTTTAATTTGTAGCCTAGGTGATCTCTGTTCAAGTGCTAACAAGACTTGAGTCTACTTAGTTTCTGAGCCTAAACAACATTGACTACAGTATGTACTTGTTGTTGGACTGTCCAATATAGTTTACCCATGTGCAACAAAACACTTTTGTCCACAAGGTGTATTTCCACTGGATATAGTGATACCTACAATAGCTGTAATCATATGAAAAGGCATTTAACAAACTTAAGGAAGTGAACGTGATCCACAACCATTGATATGGTACCTCTGGTATTAAACTCCTCTCAGTAAGTTGCAGGGCCATCTGGAGGACCTCATCCTAGGAGAGGTCTATATATGCTATGACTAAGTGTCACTAAGTGTCAAACACTCATTTGATGGCACAAAATCTACATTAGTTCCAGGGGTGGGTTCTACTTACCTTTACTACCAGTTCGCAATGGGGCCCGCACACGCTCTTCTGCGCATGTGCAGAAACGTTCTGTTGATGTCAGGGTCGATGGGCGGAGCCTCCTGCCAGTTTTACTACTGTTTCTATAGAACTGGTGTGAAATGGGGGCAACCCACCACTGATTAGTTCCTGGGAAACATTAAAAAGAGAGGGCTACTACCATTATAAACTGCCTGATGGCTTTTCGGAAACACGTATGAGAACCATTATATTGGACAAATGTTTGGGTTCAATATATCTTGCAAAAGGGTTTTTTTAAAAAAAAAAATAATTAAATAATTTAAAATAATTCTTATGTTCATGCAAAAATTTGGCTATGGGGGAAAGTCAGGATAATAGCACTGCCCAAAACCTATGGCAAAAACAAACCTTTAATTTTTAATTAGGACTGAAGGTACCAACCCCCCAACCCCCGTTTCTTATCTTTAAAATCAGTTATTTAGCCAGTATTAACATGTCTTCTTGTGTTATTATTCAGATAGTCCCTCTTGGCAGAGTTAGTATTACAGAATTTCACACAAAAATTCAAAATATAGCCTCCAATGAGGGTTTATCATTTCCTGGCATATCTGTCACGGAGTGATTGAATTTACCAAATATTATCCAATTAGGACCAGAGAGAATTAACAATCATCAGAGATTGGTTAAAAGGAGACCAGTAATTCATATAATAGGCAGCTTTCTTGAGGAATGGAGATTTTAACTAAGTAGATTTTTGGATTAATTTATTTCCCTTATACATTGGCAAATTACTTTCTTACCATTTTAGACTTCTTATTTACTATCCTTTTTGGAAAGGATTGTCCTCAGATTATCAACAACTATCTAGAACAGTGTTTCTCAACCTCAGCCATTTTAAGAGGTATGAACTTCAACTCCCAGAATTCCCCAGCTTGCCCAGCTGGCTGGGGAATTCTGGGAGTTGAAATCCACACTTCTTAAAATGGCCGAGGCTAAGAAACATTGCCCTAAAGTCACAGAATCACAGAATGTATAAATTGGAAGGAACCGTCTATATCATCTAGATCAGCGGTTCTCAACCTGGGGGTCGCGACCCCTTTGGGGGTCGAACGGCCATTTCACAGGGGTCGCCAAAGCCCTCTCTCGCCCCCCCCCACGCCTTTACTCACCCTCACCCTCTGCCTCTGGATCGCCCGGTCGCCGTTCGCTTACCCTGCCCACTCCCAATCTATTGCTGTCTCCGGAGTCCCAGCTGATGGCTAGAGGGAAAAAAAACTGTAAATTCTTGCTGCGGGGCTTCAAAGAGCTTGCTGCAAAGAGGTAAATTCCTGGAGCAAATTTTTTTCCCCCTAGCTATGCTGAAAAGAGAAATTGAAAGTAAGGAAGCAGGGTCTTTGCTGCAACGTGACAAAATGAGGCAGAGAGATTTCTTTTTCTTTTTCCTCACCAAAAAAGGTAGGTGCAAAACTGCAAACAATGGGAAATTTAGGGCAAAAGAGGAGGTTCAAGATTTTAAAACCAAAAGAAAAAAAGCTCTATTTAACTAGGGAATTGTAATAATTGAGATACTATTAATTGTATATTGTGTTGAAAGCAGAAATGGTTAAGTTGTGGTTTGGAGGAATAATATGGGGGAAATTATTTGGTTTATTATTATTGCTAAATATAATTAATTGATTTGTAAGAAATTGGATTGCATGGAAATAATTGGAATATTCATGTTCATATTGATTAATATACAAAAAAGATAGTTATATAATATAACTAATTGATTTATATTAAAATGTTGAATTTGTATTAAACAACTGTATTACATAATTAACCAATGTGAGGATGGATATAAAAATAGATGACAATGGGAAGGGGTATAATATAGAATAGAAGGGAAAAATTGAATTTGATTAAGATTAGAGATGAGGATGAAGGGTAATATTGGTTTTTTTAAAAAAATAGATGAGGAATAAATATGGTAAAAAGGAAATATAGAAATTGTAAATTTAATTGAAATGACTAAATACTGTGTTGGAAGAAATATCCTTCTGGGTTCTGCTCCAAATGGGGAAAAAGACACTGGAAACATGGAGACTGCTTGGAAAGATGGTTTAATGGTGGACAGGATCACATGGCTTGATGGGGCCCATTGTGTTAGTTTCTGTTGCTATTGTGTTGCAAATGTCCTTTGACAAAGGATTGACTTTCTGCCTCTGGCCCATTAACAAAGGGTGGTGGGCAGGAAGGTGGGAGCTGCTTTGTCTGTAAAATATGCTTCTCCATTTCTCATCCAGGGAAATATAATATTCTGCCTTTTTAATATTTCCCAAAATATTTCATTCTTCTAGGAAAGGGGTAGGTGCTAACCTCCTACAACTGTTTAAATTTATGAACCGGCCAAATACTCTGTTCAAAGAAAATACGTTGTATGTTTGTATGTGTGTTTCTAATTATTGCTATTTATTGCTATTTGTTCTCTTTTATTCTTTAAAGTTTAACAATTCATTCTTTATCTTAATATTTTAATATTTGTTTGGGGTTGACTTTCTTCCCTTTCATCTTTTTTACTGTACAGCAATCTTTCTCCTCAAACCTACCACCTCTGTCTTTTCTTTCTTACTTACTTTCTCTTCTCCCCCTCTTCTTCTCCCCTACTTCCTTTTTCTTTCTCCTTCTCCTCTTCTCTTCCTCCCTCTCTTACCTTCACTCCTCCTACTCTAATTTCCCTTCCCTTCCTTCATCCCTCTCTATTGCTGTATCCTTTTATGCATATGGACTACTCAGAGGGCTGAAAAAGTTATTTTTGACTGGTCCTCGCACTTTTGACCAGTCCTCAAACTTACGACTGTCCTCACAATTTACGTTTTTGCCCTATCTTGTCACCATGTTGAAGAGAAGCAGTTGTGAAATGAGTGACATGGTTGTTAAGAATGCTGCACAGGCATAAATGTGAGGATGGTCATAAGTGTGAGGACCAGTCAAAAGTGCGAGGACCTGTCAGAAATGACTTTTTTCAGCCCTCTGAGTAGTCCCTATACACATAGCCATGGCCACTCGGTCACATGACCAGCTAGCCACGCCAACCCAGTCACATGACCTCCAAGCCACACCCACAAAATAAGCCACGCCCACAGAACCGGTAGTAAAAAAATTTAGAACCCACCCCTGTTTGGGGGTCACCACAACATGAGGAACTGTATTAAAGGGTCATGGCATTAGGAAGGTTGAGAACCACTGATCTAGATCAACCCACATCTTAGTGCAGTAATTCACAAAGAATTACTCATCAACCCCCATTAAAAAAATATCCAAGAAAGGTGACCCTACCATTACTCTGGCAAAGTGTTCCATTGCTCTTACCACCATGAAACCCTCTTTTCTTTAATTTCAAAATTGATCCTTGTTGATCCACTCAGTTCCACCAGAGAACAGATCTCTCTCTCACACCCGATAACCTTTTACATTTTTGTAGCCTGCTATCATATCTTCCTCGAGTCTTTTCTTTATAAGCTAAACAGGCCCTGGTCCTGTGACTGTTCCTCAAAGAGCTTAGTTTCCAGATTCCTTATCTTCCTGGAAGCTTTCCTCTCAACTCACTGTAACTTATCCATGTCCCTTTGAACAGGATTCAGGAATCCAAATGCAATCTAACTATCACAATACAACATAGTTACTTTGAAAAACGTTTCCTGACTTTGGATTGTCATGTGAGATAATGATTTAGAGTAAGGATTTAGGAGTTGTTGTTTCCTTCTCCCTCTCCAACACTTCTTCATTTTGTTTCATGTCTTTTAGATCGGAAACCATAACTTATTTATCATTGACTGCTTGGTCTGTTCCAGCATAACAATGTAGTAAATCTGCTGTAAGTAAGAATTAGAATTAGAATTATTTTTTATTGGCCAAATGTGATTGGACACACAAGGAATTTGTCTTTGGTACATATGCTCTCAATGTACATAAAGAAAAAATAAAATATATTCATCAAGAATCATAAGATACAACACTTAGTGATAGTCATAGGATACTAATAAGCAATCAAATCATACTAGGAAACAATAAAAACAATATAAGTTGTAAAGATTCAAGCAACATGGATATAGCCATAAGTGGGACGAGATAGGTACTAGTAAGGATGAGAAGAAGAATAGTAATACAGTCTTAGTAGTTAATTTGACAGTGTTGTGGGAATTAGTTGTTTAGCAGAGTGATGGCATTCGGGAAAAACCTGTCCTTGTGTCTTGTTGCAAGTCAGATATGCTACTTCTGCAGAGCTACAGTATTGTTGGTGAATGTCAATAAAAGAAGTATAGAAAATTGATAATAGTGGAACATGTTCTACACCTCTCATTGTGTAGTATTCAAGGTCACCCTGTGAAGTTGAGTTAGAAGGCAATAGGGAGGATTGCTGCTAAGAAGTAGTTCTTTAGATAGTATGAAACCTTTTGCTGGCTGGGGAATTCTAGAAACTGAAATCCACATAACTTCAAGTTGCCAAGATTGAGTAACATGCTGAGTAGAGGATAATAGTTTGGCATAGGAGGGTCTGAGGACCAGTGGCAGATAATATGTCTAAGATGGACTAGTATCCAATTTACAGAAAAAGAGGTGAGTCTGAAATAAAACAAATAAATTGCACTATACAACACCTTTTTTTACCCCTGAAATTGATATTTTCAAACTGTTGCATTGTGGTTTAATAAGTAATGAGACATATATATTTTGGAAAACTCATAGACAAAAATGTCTATATTAAAGACAAGGAATCAGTAAACAACTGACTGGGAATAAATGAATGCAAAAAAGATGCAAACCGAGAAAATAATATTGTACAAAATGGAATATAAGTTTGTGCATAGAAATATACTGAAATGCATAGATGTGTGTCACATAGATAAGTCTTGAAATATAGTAAAGTCTCCATTTAATGGACACAATTTGCTAGACCTCAGATGCAGCTAATCAAATTTCCATCTAAACTGTTGCATCAGAAGAAGTCTGGACAAATTGCGATAAATTTATTTTAATTTCACCTTAATTCCATGACATCTCCAGTGATGACCATCATTTGCATACATCGTGAAACAAATGGTGCAAATTACATTATTTCCAGCAAATTTAGTCAGTTGCCCTATGACATCATAGCCTAGATGAGGCAGACTGATGTAATGATCTATGTTTAGATTTAACAGACAATTAGAAATAAGAGCATGCCCCTTTCCTTCAAAAAAGTCTGATAAAAAAAGTTTAAGTATTATTTTCCTACTGAGTTGGTGTACACCGTTCTTGTGGTCAGCAGAATTAGAATTTTGATTTTTTTTTTTTCTGGAACAGCAATTATTTTCATCCAGATAGACTTATTGAATCACTACTCCTTTTGAGCGCTGCAATTTCCCTTCCATTTCTGTCAAAGAAACATTGTAAAATATCACAGCTCACCTACCCCCCTAGTTTAGACCCTGCTGAAGGATTCCTTCATTTGAGCAGTCAAACAAAATGAGTGGACCCCCCTCCCCCCAAAGATCTTCCAGTGGCTGGATCTGCAAAGGCTGATGAACTATTAAAACAAAGGATTTAATTTCCTTATTCATTCTGATTTCCCTTCAGTTGGGATTGCACCATAGGGAGTCCAGCTGGGCTTTACTCAGCATGTTTAAAATTAGGGAGTGATCCTTGTCCATATTTGCATCCTACAAATACCAGAAATGATACTTTTGGAGTCAATGTTTGCATTTGGCCAGCATTCCACATAGCGTAGAGCCAAGAGAAGAAATTTGGCTCCCAAGAAGCATGCTAGAAATGTCTGTGATATTGTTTTGAGCTGCCTAGGAGGAGATGTTTTCAGTATGGGAAAGCCAACTATGAAAAATGGCCAACTTGTATAAACTTGAAACAAGTTGATACATAAAATGTATTTTGTTTTGTGCCGTTTTGTTGCTCTTAAAGATGGACTTAGAAGTGCATAACATAGATATTTAATCTCCCTCCCAGAATGAGAGATGGTTTGGCATTCTGGCTTCTGTCCTTGGTTTTCCTCTGAGAAAAAGGCAAAGGGAGGTAGGTGCCTTGTGTCCAGTGCTACCTTCATCCTGGGTCAGGAGCTTGACTGTGAGCGTTCCTGATAATATATGGATTGTCTTTGAATTCTTTAAAAGTAAGCAGTGGTTTTACTTACATTTCACAATACACTTATGAAGTATGTCTAAAAGATAAACAAATGTTGTAAAAGTAGTAGAGAAGGAAAACAAAAACACATTTCCAAAAACCTGATTAAAATCTGACTTAGTTAAAACAATCAAGCCCCAGATAGAATATTGTCAAATATATATGTATGCATTCATGCATGCATCCATCATTAGATATTGAATTAATCTATTGATTCATCTAGCCCACCATGTATGTATCCATCCATCCATCCATCCATCCATCCATCCATCCATCCATCCACCCACCCATCCATCACTGAATTAATCTGTCAATTCATCTAGATCACTAGAATTGGAATTGATCATCAACAGCCTTCCAGTGACTTACCCTTTAATTCTTCATTTCTACAAGGGAGCAAAGAATATGATCTGGGATTTTTGCATGCAGAGCATACGTGTAAACCACACCTCTAAACCATAGGAAATATATTGCTTCCTACGCTGTGTATATATACATGTGTCTACTCATCTGTCTATCTCCAATAGCTTCAATAACTTGAATTAGACTCTCAATCTGCCATGCAAACGTCTTAAGATCGCTCCTTTTGCAGAACCATCTCACATCCAAAGCCCACCCTGGAAAGCTGCTACAAGTGCTATCTTCCTACTACTAACCATCATGTTTGGTTTTGAGGTCTCTGAAAAGAGACATTGGAACATAGACAACCCTCCAGATAAGCTTTTCAGAGCACCCAGAGCAAGGCATTTCAAAAAAAAATTATGTGTCAATCCATATTTCTTATTTTGGTCTAGGGGGTTCTTGGAACATAGCATCATTGTAGTAGATCCTCTGGGAAAAGGATCAGGAACTTGGAACAGCAGAGACCTGGCCCCAAGTCACCATCTTTCTTGGACTGTTGCCTGAGACAATATATTTGCTCTGCTCATGAATGGGACCACCCTGATGAGGTCAGTACACCACAAGACATTTTACTGCTTAAGATGATAAACAAGATGATCTACTATCCTTCCACTATACATATAAAAGTTTATTATACTGGTCACAGAATCTTATTTTACAACATGTAATCTTCAACTGCTTCTGGGCTAGTTTAAGGGGTGGAGAGTAGACCACAGAGCACACACTGTGCTGGCTTCTAACATCTTACTGGCAATTTCTGCCCCCAGCATTTGTTACCTACATACCCTCTTACTTCTATCATGCATAACCCTCGTACCTGAACCACTACAGTAAGCTGGCTCTACTTCTACTATATCCTTATACAAACTTCATATGGGTCGGTATCTTGCACATACTGTACCTCCTAGTGCATGGGATCAAGATAATAGTATGTTGCCTTAGAAAATGGTCAGTAGGCTCAAGTTTCTACCTTGCATAGAATAGAATACATGATTTTTTTTTCATTTTTGAGGAATTAGTAATATTCTTGATATTAAGGGACTGAATCAGGGGTGGGTTCTACTTACCTTTACTACCGGTTCGCAATGGGACCGCACGTGCAGAAACTTCCTGATGACATCCAGGTTGGTGGGCGGAGCCTCCCGCTGGTTTTACTACTGGTTCTTGTGAACTGGTCTGAACCAGGGGCAACCCACCACTGGACTGAATTAAAGAGACATGTAACTTAATTCATTTTTGAAAAGGTAATTTTACTGCTAATCACAAAAACGACTCAGTATGTTTTTCAATAGATGTTATGGTATTTTGTAATGTTTGAGAATTAATTTTTAAAATTGTTTTCTCTTAAGGTAGATTTAAAAATCTTTTTGGCATTTGATTAATGTATAGTATGTTTACTTTCCCCTTTTCTGTTTTTGTTTATTTTGTTTTTGTAGTTTTTCATGAATTTCATTTCCTATTTTTTATTTGGTATTGTTTCTATTAAACTTGTTAAAATTCTTTAATAAATCTTCAAATAAAAATATAAAAAGAGAATATTTCATGTGACACTGATATGATTAAGTATGATTTAACTTATTAAAAAGCATCTGCTACGTAATGAGCTCCTCACTCTATCTAATGGTAGGGTTGCCCAGTATGATTATCATGAAACCAAAACCTGAATTAGGTTGATACAAGATTCTACTCCAAATAGCTAAGATCTCTTTCAGATTTTTATTAAAGGGCTGCTGGGCCACAGTATCTTCATAATCACTATCATCGTCGCCATCATCATCATCATCATCATCATCCTTCTTAAGATGTGTGGACTTCAACTTTCAGTCCCAGTGTGGATTTCGGCCACCCATGCCAGCTGGGGAATTTTGGGAATTGAAGTCCGCACATCTTTAAAGTTGCCAAGGTTGAGAAACACAGGTCTAAACAGTGATCTTCTCTATCAATATTTTTCAATCTTCACCTTTGTGCATGATTTTTATTGAATTTTCCAAACAATTTCAACATCATTTGAACACATTTCTCTCTTAACAAGTTTGATTAACTTAAGAGCTCAGAACTTATTCTTTTAACCACCTCATCATAATATCTGGATGATTTGGGTACTTCCAGACTTTATGTATCCTCTAAATTCTGGACTTCTCCCCCTACACAATCATCCCACCAAATAAGATCCATTCACAGTGCAGGATGTAGTATAGTTTGCCCACTCTCTTAAGTAGAAACCATGTTACAAACTGTTATGTAAACTCATTCCCTGAAGTGAAATAAGCAAAAAGAATGACCATTTCATTAAACACAACCTAACCAATTAATTACCAGTGGCCTCCGGTTAATTAATCTATTGTAAAGCAGGCATCTGCTAATCTATTTGAAATGAGTAGAGCTATTCATTATGAATTCACTTGGTGATAGGTAGGACAGCTATTTATAGCTTTTTATCTCACTTCTAGGAATGCACGGACATTCCTGCATCCACATTGCAAAGACTGGTATGTGTGTGCGCATTGCTTTTAAGTCAATGTGCTCCCCTGTTGTTGTTGTTGTTTCCTATAAGCACCATTTTCTTTATCTCCCTGTAGATAAAGTCCCCTCTGTACTCAGGGGGAAATGGAAAGGCAGTGACTGCAGAGACTTCAAAACTTCAGAGCAGTGACTTTCCTCAATGACTACAGGTAATCCTTGACTTATAACAAGGATTGAACCCAGCATTTCTTTTGCTAACATTTGTTAAGTGAGTTTTGCCCCGTTTTATGACCTTTCTTGCCACCATTTTTAAGTGACTCACTGTAATCGTTGAGTTAGTCAACATTGTTGTTAAGTGAATCGGGCTCCCCCGTTGACTTTACTTGTCAGAAGGTAGCAAAAGGTGATCACTGACCCAGGGACACACTGCCACCGTCATAAATATGGATCAGTTGCCAATCATCTGAATTTTGATCACATGACCATTGGGATGCTACAACGGTGGTAAGTGTGAGACATGGTCATAAGTCACTTTTTTCCAGTGCCATTGTAACTTCGAACAGCCGGTAAATGAACTGTTGAAGGTCGAACTGTACTAATACTGCAATCAGAAGAGTAAAGAAATGCAAAATAGAAATAAATAGAAAGTGCTGTATCTCTGATATGCTTCCTTTAGCAACATTGGCTGGGGAAAGCCTCCTGAGCCAGTCACATGATCCAATAGGACCAATCCTATTACTTTTTTTGCTATAGAGTTTCAGGGTATGTAGGCTTTCCCATGTTAGGATATCATGAAAAAGATGTGTGTTCAACCTCATCTGATACTGCCATGCCTTTAATCCTAGGAACTGTTACTTTGGACCAGAGGTCTTCAAACTTGGCAGCTTTAAGACTTGTGGACTTCAGCATAGCTGGCTGGAGAATTCTGGGAGTTGAAGTCCACAAGTCTTAAAGCTGCCAAGTTTGAAGACCTCTGCTTTAGTCAGAGTCAGTTTTCAGGGTCCAGGGATAATGTGAAGCTCATTTCTTTAAAGAAATCAAACTGATTCTATCCCTTTTCAATAAAATAATAAAGGTGGGACACAAATAAACAAGCCTTCTGCTGTATTTCGCCTGTCATGTGTCCACACAAACGCTTGTTCCCAAATTCTATTTTTCCCACTAATTTGGGAAGATTTTATAAATTCCTTTACATTTTGTTGTCCAGGACAATTGATTTATTTAAATGCAAAAGGCTATGGTTATCATCTGTGAACCTGAAGTTGTTCTATATTTGCGATGGTGGTGAATATCTTGTTGTTCTAAATGTTTGCTTCTTTGGGAATCCCTCCCCCTCAAATATACGAAGGGAGATAATGTAAGATGGATCAAGTGGATTTTTCTAAATTTCCCCTCTCTATATCTTATGCAGATCCTAATTATATTTTATTCTGGCCTTTGAATGGCTTTTAACCTTCTCACTAAAAGATAAGTAACTGGCAGAGAGTGCTATTCTCCCGTTTCACAGTACTAGTGAAATTCTGAGGATGCATGTTTTATAGCTTTATCTTTCCAGAACACCCATTCATCCTTATCTTTTAAGAAAATCCTGTTATATTTATTCTGTATTCATTTTTTTCCCTTTAAAGTCTTCAGTCTGATAAACTGGTGCAATATAAAAAGTTTAAAGAACGAATAAACAATTTTCATTCCTAAAATCTTTCCACAAAGCCTTGCGGTCTAGAGCCTTTGTTTTTCTTAACATACGCCTACTTCTCAAATGATTGAATTCTGGTTTCTGAACATAAAAGTAAATTTATTTTATTTTATTTTATTTTATTAAATTTCTATACCGCCTTTCTCCTGAAGGACTCAGGGCGGTGAACAGCCAGAAGATAAAACACAGAAATACAAAATTTAAAATGAATTAAAACGAATTAAATAATTTAGGCTGAATTTTAAAATACCCCACAATTAAACAAATTAAAATTTATGTTTAAAATTTAAATTTAAAAAGGAGAAGATTTAGGCCAGGCCAGCTTGATGAAGTAAAAACGTTTTAAGTGCGCGACGGAAGGTGCGAAGATCCGGGATCCTCCGTATCTCCGGGGGGAGCTCATTCCAGAACCTAGGTGCCCCCACAGAGAAGACTCTCCCCCTAGGGGCCGCCAGTCGACATTGTTTGGCCGACGGCACCCGGAGGGGCCCCTCTCTATGGGAGCGTACTGGCCGGTGGGAGGCTATTGGTGGTAGCAGGCACTCGTTTTGTTAATTTACAGGAGTAGGAAAACATGAGGAGGAAATAAATATTTTTTCTTGCTGGGTAAGAGGCAGCTTATATCAGGGGTGAAATCCAGCAGGTTCTGACAGGTTCTGGAGAACTGGTAGCGGAAATTTTGAGCAGTTCGGAGAAGTGGCAAATACCACCTCTGGCTGGCCCCAGAGGGAATGAAGATTTTGCAATATCCTTCCCCCAGGAGTGGGGTTGGAATGGAGATTTTGCAGTATCCTTCCCCTGCCACGCCCACCAAGCCATGGCCACAGAACCGATAGTAAAAAAATTTGGATTTCACCACTGGCTTATATCAACATTGTATAAATAGTATAAACAAATGGTTATATATTAAATACGGCATCTTCCGGTAATGAGCAGAGAGTGTCCCTGTTAATCCCAGACCAGTATGAAGAGGACTGCAGGCTCAGAGCTTTCTACACCAGGATGGCAGATCCAGGAGAACATTTCTTTCCTGCTGGTAAACCTATGTGGACTCCCTTTGTCTTTTGTTGCTGGTAGTTGGGTAAATGAAAGACATTGATCGTTTTCTGCCTTTTTTTTTTTTTTAGTTAAGCATAGTCATACTCAGCTGGAAGGGAAGGACCACTTGGGGTCAAACCTGTTGCAGACTTAGCTTCCATAATAATATCATCTATTTAGATGAGCCGGTTCAGTCCACACTTAGCCTATAGTTACATCAAATAATATTTGCACTGAGTGTGTAATTACCTTTGGTCCTGTTTACCCGTCTAATTAACAGTTTGACATTGCATCCCCGCTGTGTTGACATCTGTCGAATTCTTCCAGAGGCTCGGCAGGTCCCCAAGTGTTTTTTCTCTCTCCCCCCACCCTTTCCTTTTGCATTTCAAGTTAGAGACCCAACCTGATTATCTCTAAATTAAAGGCATGCTAAACCACATGAAAAGCCAAAAGTCTGAAAGCAACCACACAGGATGTGGCCTCGGAATCACTTGGAAGATGAAACGGTGAAGCCCAGTGTCATTGCTGGGGACATCCACCCCATCCCTTCCCGAAACCTTGAGATAAAAATGTTTACTTAGGTGGTGGCAGATGCCCTTATTTTTCAATTAGAAGGAAACAATATAGATAAAATAAGCAAAATTTTTAAAAAAAGGGATCTCAAGGAATATGAGAGCTACTCTATCAAATTCTCATTGTCTAGACTTAGGCCTTTTCCCAGTATTTTGCGGCTATTCAGAATCAGAAGTTTTAAATTGTTGGGGTTGAGGTTGTGGGGGGCAGAGAAGGAATGGCAAGAATGGAAAGGTCAACCAGGTTTGTGCTTTTGGCAAAATAAGTCCTTAAGGCGATTCCAGAAGTGAGGTGTGGTGGGGAATAGAATAGGAACTGCAGAGGAGTTACTGCTTTGAATGATGTTATACCTCCTTCCTAAATTACAGTGTTGATTCAACGCCATTTTGACACATGGCCCCAGCTTCAGGATTTATGGATCCAATCCCAAATTGGAACAGCAGCAACAGTAGCAGCACAACAACAACAACAACAACATTTATTCAGTCCCTTCTATGGATTTAAGGCAGAGTATACCACAGCCAGCATTTCAATCCTATTAAAATACGTTTGTAAGTTTGATCTGTGTAATTTCCATTGTACACTTCTTCTTCATACTCCATTATACTCCATGTTCATTTGGTTCCATCCGGTGAACCAGTGAAATTGGTATGAAAAACAACTATCCTACATGACCTAGTGTTAAAAGAATATTCTTTTATTTGTATTTTGGGTCTATAATAGATCAAGAACTAACTCGTTCAATACAATGCATATTTTATGGGGAAAATCTTTCTATGTTACCACTAGGAATCAACAATGACTTGATGGCAGACATCATCAATCTTACTTCATCAATCTTTAATAATATCTCATTCTTTTAATTTTCAAATTAAAAATTACAGATTGAAGGCAACTTTGGGAATGGTTTAAGGTAGTGTTTCTCAGTCTTGGCAGCTTGGAAATGTATGGATTTCATTTACCAGAATTTAGCTGGCTGGGAAATTCTAGGAGTTGAAGTCCACACATCTTTAAATTGCCAAGTTTGTGAAAAACTGGTCAAAGGAGTTGCACCAAGGTGGTGCAGCACAAAATCATTATGGCTTAGCTGTGTACTCTCAGCTACGTGGACCGATAACTGACATAATACGATGCAGTTTCCATATTTCAAAGGAAAAACTCATTTGGGAGTCCATGTTATCCTCTATGCACTTAAGCACTTCTATATTATTTGCAGATATTTATATCTATATTATTTGCAGATATTTATATTGAAAACAATCTTATTTGCAAAGCGATTAACAGAAACAAATAAAAAACAATATAATGATTATCAGAAAATCTAACTAACTGAAATAGAATTTAGAAAGGTAGCTAGTTCTACACAGAGGGATACTCTATGTATAATAAAAGAAATGAGACTTAAACTACTAATGATTAAGAACAGAGGCAAGAGGTTGGCTACAACACTGTGACCATTGTGTCATCCATAGTGCCTCCAAACAGCTTCCAGAGGACTCTAAAATCTCATCGGAGAGTCAAAACAATAGCTGGAAAATAAATAAATTACAAACTATCTCTAATCTCACCATATTTCAGCATTCGTATCTCATTTGTTGATCTGTGAAAGTGAATGTTATCCATTTAGGGATCTTATGAGATTTCATTATTATTTGGAATTTGTTGGTTGAAAACATTTCTGTCATACCCGATCAATTCACAGCTAAAGCTATACAGGACCAAGATATACCACCACATCCAAACCTACCATTTGCCAGTCAGAAAATGGACATGAAAATCTATACCTTATGGCAAATAAAAACCCATATTACTACTTGAGGGACCATCTCACCCCTATGGTATTGACCCATATCATTCATCCCAACAGAAGGGGCATGTTGTGAACCCTACTGGTCAAGGAATTGTTTGGTGAGGTCAAGAAGAAGGGCCTTTTCTGTCGTGGCTCCTGTCTTCTGGAACATCGTGCCCCTTGAGGTGAGATTTGCTTCCACCCTCTTAGTCTTCTAAAAAAGCCTCAAAACATGAAGGCCTTCCAATATTCAACACGGTTATTGGACTAGGAAGAAGATTCCATTTTCACCCCATAGCATTCTAGTTTTTTAAAATTTATTTAATCTCTATTTTTTCAGTTTTTGTTTCAATGTTTTGTATTTTTGTTTTTTATAATGTTTGTAAACCGCCCGGATTTGCTTCGTAGTGAGGTGGGCAATATATAAATTTAATAAATAAATAAATAACTTTAGGGGAGATTTGCTTCTGAAAAGTACGTTCAAAAATGTGTTGAGTTGGAAGAAATGCCTTCTTACAAACTTTTTTTTTCTTTTTGCAAAAATTCATAAAGAAAGATGAAAACCAGCTACAGCAAATGAACCTGAAAATCAGAAATGGAGTAAAACCAAAACTGATCTACCTGTACACGAGTAAAAGCTGTCATATTGTCATGCACTTACTCCTGCATATGAGTAAGCTTCAGCTGTACATAAAAGAAAAGTTGTTATTTAAAACAGTGATTGTATGCAACTGTATAAAAAATACTAGATACGTTTGTATCCCCTGAGTTAAAATATTTTAATATTCTTAAAATAAGGGGGCATTATTGAGATCAGTGTTTAAGTTACTCAGTTGAACTGCTACAGCAGTTAAATGAATAGAAATGAGACCTATTCTTGGTGCAATAACCTCTAAGAAACTGAAGAGCTGTCTGCATTTTTTAAAAGTGCCTTGAAATAATTCAAACTAAAGAAACATCCTGAGCAATATTTTTAGTCACAAAAACAAGAAGGGAGTTGTCTAGTAAAGAAAAAAAAAAAGGGGGGGGGGGAAGATAAATAAAAGGAGGGCAAGTCCCATACCAAAATAACCGACAGCTCCTACTGGAAGATGAAAGCAAACTTAGCTAACCTTTAATTTTCTTCCTGTTGTCCAAGGAAATCAAATACCAGGTGGGTGTAGACTCCCAGAAAAGGTAAAACCTTTTTGTTGCTGGAGCAGCTGTTGTACAGCCAGGACTCTGGAAAACTCTCCTTGATGAAAACTTTTGACCCTATGGCTGAACTGGGCATCAAAATAGATAATAGCAAAACATGGAATATTTGCTTTTCAGAAAAGGAAATAGGAAAGCTCATCAAGTAATAAATAGGGGCAACTCAAGAGTGTTTGGCATTTAATGGCCATATAGTTAGGGATGCATGGAAGCCACAGACCTGAATCTCAGTTTTTCCCATGAACTTTGCAAACTATGTTAATTGAAAAACAGGCCAGGTCACATATTTCTTGGGAAAAATATTATCAAGGAAATGGAGAGGGGAAGGAACAGATCAACAACTGCCACATGTGCTCTATGAAACCTTAAAATATGTCAGTATCCATGTGCAGCTGTCCTATGTAGTAATCTACTGATTTGCAGCTGGTAGCTTCATAATGAAATGCCTTCATTGGATTGACATACCTCCCAGACTGGTCCTTGGATGGAGTATAAAAGCTTTGAACTCCATATCTTGTTTTCAGTCCTATCTTGAGGTACTTTTGGTTCTTGGTTCCCATTTCCTAGCCCATCCTTATTTCTCAGACTAGTCCATATACTATAGCCAAAATGTGGAACATATGAACAGAAAAAACAAAATTTGAAAAATGCTTACTGTTCATATATAGAAACCTTCCTCATACTGGAACAATCCAGAAGAGTTGGTCATCAAGAGTTCAATACATTTCCCTTTTGCTTGCCTAGCAAGAGTTACAAAATCACCTGGCTGTCTATATTATTGTGTGTTCTGTAATTCAAACTGGTAAATAAAGACATAAATTAAGTAACTGTCTAGGGATAAACAAGCGGAAAAGAACAGAAACCAGGCAAGCAATATCCAGGCATGTTCCAAGAAGTTTAGTCCAGAAGTTCAAGCTTTTTTGGAAAAGGGATTTGTTCCCGAGTGGATGGAACTGTTCCTCATACTCTCTTTTATTTAGTCCTCTGGATATGAGTTACTGATTCCTCAATTAAATTTCAATCTCTCAATCTCTGTGGGATTTGGATGCCATGACCCCGGCTGCTGGTGAAATAGACTTCAGTCCTAGCTCTCCTGATCGGTTTAGGCTACCAGCTTCTTACAACTGGACAAAACCCCCCCACCCCTGAATATTGGCACAAGTTGCCACTTTTTAAAAATAATCCTTTAAATGTTTAATTTTACTCTATTGTATTTAACATAATAACAGAGTTGGAAGGGACTATGGTGGTCTTCTAGTCCAACCCCCTGCTTAAGCAGGAAACCCTATACCCAGTGGTGGGATTCAGCCAGTTCGCACGACTTCGGGAGAACCGGTTGTTAACTTTCTGAGCTGTTTGGTGAACAGGTTGTTGGAAGAAATCATTAGGGCAGAGAACCGGTTGTTAAATTATTTGAATCCCACCACTGCCTATACCCATGATGGCAAACCTATGGCACGCGTGGGCATCAGTGGGCACGTGAGGTCAGTTGATTTTTGGGCCTTCTGGGCCCACTGGAAGTAGGAACAGAGGCTGTTTCCTGCCTCCAGAAGGCCTCGGGGAGGTGGGGAAGGCCTGTTTTTCATTCTCCCCAGGCTCCAGAGCCTTTCTAGGGACCTGGGGAGGGTGAAAATGGCGTCCCCCCCACCCCCCGGAGGCAGGAAACGGCCCGTTTGCCAACTTCCGGTGGGATCTAAAGCCTCTAGAGCAGTGGTTGTCAACCTTCCTGATGCCATGACCCTTTAATACAGTTCCTCATGTTATGGTGACCCCCAACCAGGGGTGGGTTCTAAATTTTTTTACTACCGGTTCTGTGGGTGTGGCTTATTTTGTGGGCGTGGCTTGGAGGTCATGTGACTGAGTGGGCGTGGCTAGCTGGTCATGTGACCGGGTGGCCATGGCTATGTGTATAGGGACTACTCAGAGGGCTGAAAAAAGTCATTTCTGGCAGGTCCTCGCACTTTTGACTGGTCCTCACACTTATGACCATCCTCACATTTATGCCTGTGCAGCATTCTTAACAACCATGTCACTCATTTCACAACTGCTTCTCTTCAACATGGTATAAGATAGGGCAAAAAACGTAAAATGTGAGGACAGTCGTAAATTCGAGGACTGGTCAAAAGTGCGAGGACCAGTCAAAAATAACTTTTTCAGCCCTCTGAGTAGTCCCTGTGCATAAAAGGACTACCCAGAGGGCTGAAAAAAGTGATTCTGATAGGTCCTCGCACTTTTGACCGGTCTTCGCACTTATGACTGGTCATCATGCCCATTGAAGCATTCTTAACAACCATGTCACTCATTTCACAACTGCTTCTCTTCACCATGGTGACAAGATAGGGCAAAAACGTAAAATGTGAGGACAGTCGTAAGTTCGAGGACTGGTCAAAAGTGCGAGGACCAGTCAAAAATAATTTTTTCAGCCCTCTGAGTAGTCCCTGTGCACAAAAGGACTACCCAGAGGGCTGAAAAAAGTGATTCTGATAGGTCCTCGCACTTTTGACGGTCTTCGCATTATGACTGGTCATCATGCCCATTGAAGCATTCTTAACAACCATGTCACTCATTTCACAACTGCTTCTCTTCACCATGGTGACAAGATAGGGCAAAAACGTAAAATGTGAGGACAGTCGTAAGTTCGAGGACTGGTCAAAAGTGCGAGGACCAGTCAAAAATAACTTTTTCAGCCCTCTGAGTAGTCCATATGCATAAAAGAATACAGCAATAGAGAGGGATGAAGGAAGGGGAGGGAAATTAGAGTAGGAGTGAAGGTAAGAGAGGGAGGAAGAGAGGAGGAGAAAGAGAAAGAAAGAGGAAGTAAGGAGGAGAAAAAGAGGGTGGAGGGAAGAGAAAGTAAGAAGGAAAGAAAAGAGAGAGGTGGTAGGTTTGAGGAGAAAGATTGCTGTACAATAAAAAAGATGAAAGGGAAGAAAGGCCAACCCCAAACAAATATTAAGATATTAAGATAAAGAATGAATTGTTAAACTTTAAAGAATAAAAGAGAACAAATAGCAATAAATAGCAATAATTAGAAACACACATACAAACATACAACGTATTTTCTTTGAACAGAGTATTTGGCCGGTTCACAAATTTAAACAGTTGTAGGAGGTTAGCATCCACCCCTTTCCTAGAAGAATGAAATATTTTGGGAAATATTAAAAAGGCAGAATATTATATTTCCCTACCTGGATGAGAAATGGAGAAGTATATTTTACAGACAAAGCAACTCCCACCTTCCTGCCCCCCCACCCTTTGTTAATGGGCCAGAGGCAGAAACTCAATCCTTTGTCAAAGGACATTTGCAACACAATAGCAACAGAAACTAACACAATGGGCCCCATCAAGCCATGTGATCCTGTCCACCATTAAACCATCTTTCCAAGCAGTCTCCATGTTTCCAGTGTCTTTTTCCCCACTTGGAGCAGAACCCAGAAGGATATTTCTTCCAACACAGTATTTAGTCATTTCAATTAAATTTACAATTTCTTATTTTCCTTTTTACCATATTTATTCCTCATCTATTTTTTAAAAAACCGATATTACCCTTCATCCTCATCTCTAATCTTAATCAAATTCAATTTTTCCCTTCTATTCTATATTATACTCCTTCCCATTGTCATCTATTTTTATATCCATCCTCACATTGGTTAATTATGTAATACAGTTGTTTAATACAAATTCAACATTTTAATATAAATCAATTAGTTATATAGCTACCTTTTTTGTGTATTAATCAATATGAACATGAATATTCCAATTATTTCCATGCAATCCAATCTCTTACAAATCAATTAATTATATTTACCAATAATAATAAACCAAATAATTTCCCCCATAATTCCTCCAAACCACAACTTAACCATTTCTGCTTTCAACACAATATGCAATTAATAGTATCTCAATTATTACAATTCCTTAGTTAAATAGAACTTTTTTTCTTCTGTGTTTTAAAATCTTGAACCTCCTCTTCCCCTAAATTTCCCATTGTTTGTAGTTTTGCACCTACCTTTTTTGGTGAGGAAAAAGAAATCTCTCTGCCTCATTTTGTCACGGTGCACCAAAGACCCTGCTTACTTTCAATTTCGCT